CATGGGCCTTAGTGGAAAGGATTTGTGCCATCAACTCACAGGTCCTTGGAGAAGGACAGCGCAGGAGAGGAAGACCCTCGATGAGACGGATTGATTCAGTGATGGGGGCAGGTATGTCAGAGACAATTAAACTGGCTCAAGATAGAACAGTGTTCAGAGTGGTTGTACACAGGCTCACTGTGAGTTGCAGGCGACTCAGTGGCACATAACAAAGTAACCACCCTCTCGATGATGCTGTGCTGGTCTTCTGGGCTTTTCTGACACTAATACCGCCTGGGTGATGTAACAGCGTGTCAGGACTAGAACAGAAAGCATGAATGCCACCCTGAACTGTGCGATGCTGACATTTATGGAAAAGACTTATCCAGTCTCCCAGTATCTTCCTCCCTGGCCTGGGAGGGTCCCACCTGCCCTGCTGTCTTGACCAGAAGCTTCCACCCCAGGACATGATAGCGTCTGAGCCTTAGTCTGATGCCCCCACCCGCCCCTCCATGCTGCCTGCACTGCCCGATCCTGCCAATCACACTGCCCTGGGGTCTTGCAGCCCACACCCCAAAGAGGCTGCGGACTGGCTGGCTCCACGCAGGCTCGGTGAAGACACTTCACAGGCTGACGTGAGCTCTGGTTTTAATTTTATTTTTCCCCCCTCTAACAAGCAAAATTCACATTACAGATAAATTGCCTGAAAATTCCAATTTAATACGGCATATGCATTTTCTGGGCCCAGAAGTACAGAAAGCATCTCACCCGTGTGTGTGTGTGTGTGTGTGTGTGTGTGTACGTAAGTGAGCATGCACCTCACAGAGACCCTCATTAAAGAGACAGCTTGGAAGATGTCAGACCTGTGTGGTGGGCCTGGCCAGTAGGTCCCCAAAGCTGCTCGGCTGCTGGGAGGGGTGGAAGGGGTGGACAGGCTGGGCAGTAGTTTGAGCTGGTCTCCCCTCTAGGGCCAAAGGCTTCTGCAGAGGAGGAACTCACATCACGTTCCCTGCCCTCTGTATCTTCCACCAGCCTCAAAGGCCAAAATGAATCCACACCATTACACTGAGTTGATCTGACTCACTGTGACCCCATGAGCAGAACCATGTTCAATGCGGTTATTGTCAATGGCTGATTTATTTTTTCTTATAATAGTTTGCCAGGCCTTTCTTCCAAAGTGCTTCTGGGTGAATTTGAATTTCTGACGTTTCAGTTAATATCTGAGTGCTTATCCCTGTGCACCATCAGGCCTCTCTTGTCGTTGGAGGTCACTGAGTCATTGCTGGTTTGTAGTAACCCTGTGTGAACAGACTGAACCTGGCCCAGTCCCCGCCCTCTCACAGCTCCGCTGGGCTTGGCCCACTGTTGGAGCCACGGTGTCAGTCCACATCACGGGGGCTCTTCCTCCTCCTCACCAACCTTCTCCTGCTTCAACTATGATGTCCTTCTGCGTGCACTGCCCCTCCTGGTAACACACCAAAAGTGTGTGGGCCCAGATCTCACCGTCTGCACCTCCAAGGAGCGTGCTGGCTGCCTCTCTTCTGGCCTTGCTGCTTCTCTGGCAGACCATGGCATATTTGGTGTTCGTTATGCTCTACCCACACCACAATTCAGAGCCATCAGTTTCCATTTATCCACTGTCCTATTTCTACATATGCACTGAATTCAAACACCATGGCTGGAGTCAGGCATACCCTGGTCCTCAATGTGATATTTTTACTCTTCAGCACTTTAACGACCTCTCTTAGAGCAGCTTGGTCCAGTACAATGTGTCATCCATCTTTTGACTGCTACTTCCACGGGAGTTGGTTGTGGATCCAAGTAACGTGAAATCTATGGCAATTTCGATCTTTTCTGTTTATCATGATATAGTTTATTGGTCAAGTGGTGGATATTTTTCCCCTTGATATTAAGGTTGAGACTGAACTTCCTTCCTTACTAAAAGCTGTAGTCTTTGATCATCTTTAGTCATCGCAACAAAGCCTCTTCATTCCCCACAAGCAAGATGGTGTCACCTGTTTATCACAGCTTGCTGATAAGTCTTCCTCTAATACTGATAGTTTTCTCCTTAGAGTCCAGCTCTCGGGGGATGCTCAGCATTGAGATGAAATAAATATGGCAAAAGGATACCCCACCTTCTGTATTAAATAGGGCAGCACATAGCTGGGCCCTAATGTGTATGTTGCTGTTGCCCGCCGAGTCGGAAGTGACCCTGCAGCGGGTTTTTAGAGGCCATAAATCACATGGAAGGGGACGCCCATCTTTCTTCCATGGAGCAGCGGGTGGATTTGAACTGTGTGCCCTCGGACTGACTGTTTAGTGGTGTGTCCTTCTGTCTGAAGGATGGGATTCTGAGGGGTGGTGTGATTCAGGCAGAACCTGAATCCAGTAAGAAAACCCAAAACATCACACGAGTTGTCGCTGACTGGGTTCCCCTAACAGGAGCCCCATGTGTGTCAGGGAAGCACGTGGCCCACCAAGTTCTCAGCATCTGATCTCCTCGGAGCAGATTTCCAGGGCCTTCTTCCAAGTCCCCACTGGACACACTTGAACTTCTAATCTTTCTGGTGGGCAGCCCGGTGCGTAGCCGTGTGTCTCCCAGAGATAAAGCGTTAAAATAAGGAAAAAGGAGGACACTCAGTCAGACAGAAGAGCAACGGCCTGGCCCTGGATGCATAGCTATTGTCAGAGGAAGAGAAACAGTGGCAGGCTGGCCTGTGACACACCCAGTCCTCGCCCTCCAGGGAAATGTCAGGGATCCGGGCCCTGCAGCGCTCTGTGGTGTTTCTAAGGGGTGTAGCTCTCGAGGTCGAGTCTCCCAACATCTTACTGATGTAACACTCCTTTAGGGAAGGAGCCATCGTGGCCATCATGTTAATTGTCCTGTAGAAGGTAGCATAATAGGAAAAGAGGAGAAAGTGAGAGCAGTGGAGACTTGCTGGGGTGCAAAGACCACTGCGTCCCATTCTTGTTTCTGGTCCCCAGGCCAAGCAGAGTCCTCAGAGATGAAAATACAATCCGTTTACAATGTCCATTATTTCAAGTAAATGTTGAGCCAGTAAAGACCATTTCTGGGTCTGCTGTGGGCTTCGTGCCTGTTTAGGCAGGAATCTAACGCAGCCTCTTTGTAACCTCTGGTTCTGGGATGGTACCACGCCCGGCCATGCAGGGCCTGCACCTGGGCCCACCCCGAGACCCCAGCTGCACACCCAGCCCCCCAGCCTAGCTGGGCTGAATCCTGGCTCTGTCAGTCCTGCCTGCGCTGCTCTGGGAAGAGGACGAGGCCGCTCTGAATCTTGCTTTCTTCCTCTCTAAGGCAGTGATGTGGCCACCGACGGCCAGCTGCCGCATGCCTGCACGTGGTGTCATGGTGGCTTTTCCGACAGCTCGCTCCGTGTTGAGTCCCGTCCCTGGCCCTGTGAGAACCCCTGAGACTTTATCCTCCTGCTGTCACGTTCCTGGAGGCACTTTGCCTGTGTCTCCAGGGTTCAAATCCACCAGCTGCTCCGAGAAAGATGGGCATTCTCCCCACGCTGCCAATTCTCGAGACCATAGAGGGTCACGACAAGTAAGAACCAACATCACCCCTGCAAGGTTGAGGGTGTTTTGGTTTATTGCACTTAAGACTGCTAGTTGACAGAGCCCGCTGCGGGGTAGATGCTGTGGCGACGTCCATGGGCAGCTGCATGCTCACCCACAGCCCTACTGGTTCAAACCCACCTGCAGCTGCACAGGAGGAAGCTGGGGAGGTTGACGGCCCAGAACCTGCTGCAGGGTCAGCGGGGAGTCCTTCCCGACCCCATGGCAATGAGCTGAGGTAGGAGGACAGTGTAAATAGCATTTCCTGTGCCCTGGGAAACAATGTGACTCATTTACACGCCGTGTGCCCTCTTGCGCCGCTCTGAAACTTAATGTGTGCTGCCTGTCTTTTGGGGTCTGCTCAGGTGGCAGCAGGGTCACATTCTGGGGTCCCAACCAGACTGGCATGTCCTCATGTCTCTTAGAGGCACACGGCTCTTTCCTCATGTTTAGACTGATGGGGGGCAGGCCAGCACTCGCTGGCACCTTGCTGTGCTGGGCACGTGGCTCTGAGCTAGTCCCACATCACTTGAAGAGCAAAGACCACGTCCCAGTCAGTGTGTCCCTGGTAGAGAGTCGTTCACTGCAGAAAATGAGCAGGTATTACTTTAACCACCTCAAAAAAATTAGGCGATGTTTTCTTACCCCAGATTCCAACCCCAGCCCAGGGGCACAGGCTGGAATGGACCAGGCTGCCTCCCGTTTACCACTGAGCAGCTCTGTCCCCAGCGCTGCCCTTCGCTGTGCCTTCCAACAGAGCCATCATTCAGCACATACACAGCAATATCTGTATGACTAACAGATCGCTGTGCGCACGTCTGTCATACTGTGCGGACTTGTGTGCTCCCTGATGCTGGAAAACATCATCATCTCACATACCAGGGGGTCATCCAGTGTCGACAGGTCTGACCAGAGCGTGCAGACAGGCTGACTGGAGGGCCATGTGTGGTGACAGGGAGGCCCGCAGTGGGGCTGCTGCCGCACGGTAATGTGATGGACAGTAGAGGTGAGGATGACACAGGGCTGCAGAGCTTGGTGTCCACTGACCGCACCCGTGTGCCAGGAGCTGGGGCACAGCATGTGGATGGACGCTCACGGAGCGCGCATGCCGGGTCTTCCCTTCCAGTGCCCTACCTGGGTCTAGATGTCACATCCTCAGCTCAGTGGGGATGCCTCCTCAGTCTGAGAGGTGCCCAATGGGTGAAAGCAGTCAAGCGGGGCTGAATCAGGGAGCAGCTATGAAGGCTGCACGTGCTACCAGAGCCTGGCAGCCTCTCTCTCAGGGCAGACAAGGAGGGGACAAGTGGAGGGTCTGGCCCAGAGCTGGGGTCAGCCAGGATGTTCTGAATGAAATAATCGTGTGATGCCCCACCCAGCACGCTGTAAGCATGTTGTGAATCCAGTGTGACTGGGACCTGACAGTGAGGGATTTTTCATTCCAGGTATTCTGTCTACAAGGACCCAGCAGGCTGGCTGAACATCAACCCCATCAACGGGACTGTGGACACCACGGCCGTGCTGGACCGCGAGTCCCCTTTCGTCCACAACAGCGTCTACACTGCCCTCTTCCTGGCCATCGACAGCGGTAAGGAAGTTAAAAAGTACACCACTACGCCCTATTTGTAGTTTTAATGGATTTTTTTAATGTGTACATGTCTTTCAACTAGTGGTATTCTCAGAATATAAATGTGCGAGGCAGGCAGAGCACACAGTGATGGGTTGTGTCCACACCACAGGTCCTGGCAAGCAGGTGGGTGACACGTGGGCCAAGGTCAGGATTCTATCTGAAGTAGCTGCCAAGGGTAGGAAGAGCGAGGCCGACATCATCTTGGACCCATGTTCTGACCTTCCGTTCAAGTGGAAGAAGACGGCCACTGAGAGGGGAGGACACAGGCATGCATGGGTTTGGATGTATGTGGGTGTTCATAGTCAAAGTATCTCAAAACCTAGAGGAGTCGTTTACTGGAACAGGCAACCAACAGATCTCGTAGGTCTATGAAGAGGAATTAATAGGATTTTAAAAAATAGGCCATAGAGAGTCAGACAAGCAAACGGGAGATTCAAACTCAGGAGACCCTCAACAGAGACATACTGTCGGGAGGAGCTGTTTCTGGACTCGAAGGCGAAGTGTCTCCTTCTGTAAGATGAGCAGTGTCGTGTCCACCTGCGAGCTCCTTGAGAGACTGAGAAGGTGAGATAACCCTCTACACTCCCCACCCAGACCCTATTTCCATGTTAAATGTTCAGTAAATGGTAATTCCCCTCCAGCAGGGAGGGAGAAGAGGGGGAACGCGCCAAGGAGCCCCCATTAACTGAGAAAAAGCCAGCTCAGCATTTGTCGTCTAATTCTGCTACTCTGAATATCCGACAAGAAAATTCAAAATCTGATACCACAGTTGTTTCCAGAAAGAGTGAACTGTCCCTACAGATGATAGTAAACAGAACACGGGCTGGCATTCACATACAGAGCCATCCGCGGAGAAGAACCCTCAACAAGACCCAGGAGACGGGAAGCAGTACACATCAGACAGCCCAGCAGCCACCCCTTTCATCACTCATTGCATCTAGAACTGGTTGTGCGAACTGCTGCCTTAGTTCCATCCAAAGTGAACGTGTGTTTTGTAATTAATTCTACGGAAATTCTATTTGGCAGAATTAAAGAATAAGGATTTTGGTCTTTAAAACCAGAGAAACAAAAGCATGGTAGATTGATTTCTTCCAAGTAAGGACTCACTCAGGAATTGAAGCCGAACATGTCGGTGAGCTTCGAGGCTGCTGTCCAGTTCTGTGGCGTCAGCGAGCAACAGCCCAGTGAACGACTTCTGAACCTTGTACCCCCACATGATGAGAGGTGCAAGCCCGGCAGTCCAGTCACTGTGTCAGTCTGTCCAGTGGAGGGTCTTCCTCTCTCTCAAGGACAACATGCTCAGAGAGTGTGACACCGAGCTCCACCATCCTTGCCTCCGAGGACTCGTTTGGTCTTTGACAGTCCATATCAGGAGACCAGTGTCCCCGCTGACCCTGACAGCAGAGCGCTCTAGATTAGCTAAAATACCTGAGAGAGAAGCAGCATTTGGAAATAATGTGAGAGTACTTCCTCACCACCATGTAGCAGAGCGCCCAAGGAAGAAGGGAACAGTCCAGAAAGGCTTCTAACAGTCATGTGAAATGATGGGGACAAAATGCAAAGTGGAGGGAGGGACTCTGGACTCACGGAGCTTGCCTTCTACAGGGCACAGGGAAACAACTTGCCTCACGCATACAAATTTCCTTTTATTTAAGGTATCTGCCAGATTTTGAGGGAGCAGGTTGGGGCATGAGAGGGCTGAAGAGCTGACTTGGGAAGCTGAACGGCAGAGACAACGAGAGTCTTGGTCAAAACCCGGGGAGGCTCATGCCCAGCCTCAGGCCTGACCAGCTCCAGCTGTCACTGAACTGAGGGAAGGACTGGCATATCCAGCAAATACAAGAGGGAAAATTCTACAGCAGATAAAACTAGGCCTAGAAGACGCAAGAATGTAGGGGTGATGACGAGGAGAGACGGACACAGGGGATCCAGACATCTAACTCGGCACACCAGACTCCTGAAGTAACTAATTGTTGGTGTACGGCGTAGAAGTCAGACCCGACTCACAGCTGACCCTTCACTGGGTTTTCAGAGGCAGTAAACCACACGAGAGGAGACGGCTAATCTTTCTCTTACAGAGCAGCTGGTGGATTTGAACCACATGCCTTTGGGATTGCAGCTCAGGTTCTTACCACTAGAGCTCATCATTAATTCGTTTAAGAAAATAGATTAATGCCTGGAGAGTTTTACCAGAGAACTAGAATAATTAAGAGGAGGAAATCAAATGTCGATGTCAGAACTGAGATGCAAACTGCCAGTTATTAAAAATTCAGTGTGTGGGTTTAACTGCAGAACAGAAGATTTGTGACCTAGAATATAAACCTGTAGAAAGCACCTTTAAAGAATAGGCCAAATAGAAAATCCAAGCAAGATCAAATTTGTGACCTAGAATATAAACCTGTAGAAAGCACCTTTAAAGAATAGGCCAAATAGAAAATCCAAGCAAGATCAAATTTTATCCTAATCATATGTAAAGTATTAAATATTAAACTATGTCCACCTTAGAATACACTTTAAATCCTAGTCCCGATAGTAGTGGATGTGGTAAGGTTGTCTTTGACATGGGAATGAGGCCACATCAGTGTAAACCTGACACACGCAAACAGCGATGGGGAGTAGACGCTGCATTCACAAGACTCCCGCAGACAGGAGCCACGGGGAAATGCAGCAGAGTAAGGTCTTTCCCCTGAAGTGCAACGAGAGTCCCTTAGAGAAAGGGATGGTGACTTCATCTCACACACTGTGGACATGACGCCAGGAGGGGCCAGTCCCTGGAAAAGCTGGGGAAGATGGAGGGTCGACAAACGAGAGGAAGACGCTCCAGGAGCTGTGCTGACATGTGATCGTAACCGTAGGTCCTCGTGCGGGGCGAGGTTCCCAGCTGTTCCCAGGGTCACTGAGCCGCAGCGCACCTCAGAACAACAGTCAGAAGGTTTTACACTCCTGCCTGTCCCCCAAGGTCCTCCTCACTGGTGCCACTTTTGTCCACTCCCCACCGCACAGAGACCTCATGTTTTGCACACGTGGTCTCCTGCTGGTTTCTCAGCCCACAAGGACTGAGTCTAGAATTCTTAGTTCTCAGTATCCTTTGAGGTCAGAAGTGCTAATCTAAGAGAAAGGCATTTCATAATGTTGAAGGGATGGATCTAAAGTTAAATTACTACAACGCTAAATCTGTCTACACCAGAGACAAGTGGTTCAAAATATACAGAGAAGAGAAACTAAATAGAAACTGGGAAGTTTAAATACATCTACCCCAACAGACAAGTCAAGTCGCAAAGATACAGAAGATAACACCACAGTACAGCTGATCACCTCCCCACGTCAGAGCCCTGTGCTCAGGAATTCCTAGGCTCACGGTTTCAATCTGTATCTGAACAGATCATTCTAGAAGCTGGACTTTGAGGAAGACTGTGGCATCAAGGTCAGTGGGAGACTCCTCACCCTCCTGCATTATACAGATGACTCAACCTTCCCTGTTGAAAGTGAGGACGACTTGAAATGCTTGTTGCAGAATATCAGAACTACAGCCTTCGGTATGAATTCCATCACAACAAGAAAACAAAGGCCCTCACCACTGGCCAATAGGCAACATCACGACAGCTGCAGAATAGAAACTGTCAGTGAGTCCATCTTCCTTGGATTCATGATCAGCTCTTGGTACTAGCTGTCAGGAAATTGAGACATGTTGCATTGGGAAAGTGTACAGTCAGGGACCTCTCAAGTCCTGGAGAGCAAGGACATCAGTTTAAAGACTAAGGTGTGCCTGATCCAGACCATGAGCTTTTCAAAGACTGTGCATCTGAGAGTTGAACAGTGACTAAAGATGACAGAAGAATCACCTGCGCCTTTGTGATGTTGGAGAAGACTACTGACTGTCTTACAGGGTTTCCAACAGAACAAAGGTGTCTTGGAGAGCGTGCAGCCAGAGAAGGAAGAAGACGCTTAGTCCCTTGGAGGAGCCAGTCCTTGCAAAAGCCAAGGGTCAGCGGAGGAGGAGACCCTCAAGATGAACTGGCACCATGACCTTAAGAGCAGGCTCCACTGTGGCAGACACGACATTCAGAGTCGTCGTCAACTCGACAGCCCCAACATACGTGTCCTTTGCAAGTTCACAGGAACGTTTTATGCACGCTGAATACTAGTCAAGGCAACCCTGCAGATTAAGCTGGGAGATCCACTCTCCACACTGCCGGATGTATATAAAAATTACCATCCAAAGGACTGTGGCATTTCAGCCGAGGAGTTCAGGAAGAGACTCGCACACACAGGACCTGACTGTGACAAGAAGGGCTCTGCGATGCATAGGAGAAAGCTGGGTCTTCTCCAAAGACAGGGAAGGCTTAGCAGGATAACTCTGGTTTTGAGAAACATGCTTACTGACCTTTCTCTTACACCATAATCTAGTCTATCTGTGGAGTAAAAGGTCAAAGGTTGGAAGGTTAAGTAACACATTTAGAGAAAAGTAGTAATGCTCTTAGCACAGGCAGAAAGTGTACAGAGTACAAAAAGGATTAACCACAAAAGGGGAAAAATAATTAGATTGTGTCAAAATTAAGAACTCCGACTCATCAGACACCATCATGAATGCGGTTAGACGAATGTATGGTGTAGAAGGTATCTTCAGGGATGGAGAAATGCAACAGGTCTGTAAACAAAAGACCCAGCCACAGGTAAGTGATGAAGAGACCACAGCACACAAAAGAGGGTGTGACATTAGGACTATTCCACTTCATGATCCCCACAGTGTAATGCCTACAAAATGCCTACAGAGGAACTGCAGTAAACGACACTGTAACACTAAACAATGGAAAGTAAAAACTGCCAAGTGTTAGCCAAGATGTGGAGTAACTGAGACCACTGACAGAAGTGCAAACTTCTCTAACTATGTAGGAAGCTGAGACTACAAAGGGAAGCAGAGAGACACCTGTGATCTGTGAGTCCTACATCCGGGTGTC